CAATGGTGAACTAATTGTAGAAACATTTGACTGGTCAAGTTACTTTGCTACATTATTCAAGAAAAGAAAAGGCATGATAGGATTTCAACACTGTTGTAAATGCGACCTCACCTGGTTTAGTTGCAGCCAGACAAGTTGTAGACGGCCCAGTCACACAATTCAATTAGCTGAAAGAGGATGCTCAAATAATGGAAGATGATCTACCTGATGTATTGCCACCAAAGGCTATGTCAAGTGAAAGAAAATGGTACTTTTACAAAAAGATAAGATTGTTTTGCTGATACAAATGTAAAATTGTAACCTGCCCACTTCCTGATGCACCTCAACAAGCAAGATCATCTCGACAATCAACACCAGGTGTTGATGATCCACCAGACCTCGCAATTGAGATCAAAGTACCACATTCTCCAGGTAATCTTTAGAACAACCTACAACACAAAGAAAATGTTGTAATTGTGGTCAATTTGGTCATAATAAAAGAACTTGTCCATGTAATCAGTAAATGAATAACAGAAATGAGTTTGTGTAATCACATGCTATTGATCGCCTTTTAACAGGAGAGGAACTAGTCTGTCTACAACAAACAGACTATTGATCCCCTGAAATAGGAGTGGAACTAGTTTGAATGCCAAACAATCAAACTATTGATCCCCTGAAACAGGAGTGGAACGAGTTTGAATGCCAAAATATTCCAACTATTGATCCCCTAAAGGAGAGGAACTCATTTGTAACGCTAAGACATACAAACTATTGATCCCTTGTTTGAAATCAAAGGTGTGGAACAAGTATGTGTGAGACGTCAACATAAACAAATACTCATTTTCGTTTGAAACTTACTAACTCAAATAAAAAAGTCGAGAGAAAGTTAGTCACCGAGTTATCATGCAGGTGATTTGTGTTTATCTGCACTGGTGAGAGGACTGATAATAAAATCGTGTGGGAGGAGAATACCGAAATAGAAGTCATTGCGTCATTCACAGCCAATCAAAGAACATCAAGTGTCAACTGTGACCTTTTGGATTTAAAATTAGACACCTAAAACTGTAAGTTCAAAATCAAAAATAATGGCTGCCCCAATATAGGATGTCTTCATTGAGGTCCATCCATCTGATAGTAAGTGGGGAATGTGTAACCCTATAGTTACAACTATATTGCCTTTTGTTTTTGGTAGATACACTTGGTAATTTGATTGTACATGTATGTTTGTGTTGTACATTAAAAGCAAAAATAACTGTTTTTTTTGCAAAAAAAGAAGTGAGGGTCAAAGAGAAGAAAGAAGACAGAGAAGAGAGGACGGAGGAGAAAGGAGACAGAGACAAAGAGGAGACTGGAAATAGTCTAAAGGAGAATGGTAAGATTGAAAGGTGAAACATACAACTATACATGACATTGTTTTAAATCGAATCAAACGGCTTAAGTAAGTTTATTTACATGTGTGATTGTGTCAAAATTTCTGTAGTGAAGTAGCTGTAAGAAGGACTATTAAACTAAAACGTAATTTTGTATTCTATTTAAGTTAGTTCTATTTACAACAAATCAACAAATCCCGTCAAGCATGTCGTTTATTATATCCAGACGTCAGGACCGCCACTATCTGCTCGAACTCGACGACGTTATCCCGAACGGTTAACAATCGTTCGTTCACATGATGAAAATGGGAATCATACGTCCTTCCTCCAGTTATTGGTCCTTTGATTTTCATATGGTCCCTAGGAAGACTAGTGGTGATTGCCGACCATGCGGAGACTATTGGGCTGTCAATAGGATCACAGTGCCTGACCGTTATCCCATCCCGCACATTCAGGATTTCGCTTACAGAGTAGTCATATTTTGTCCAAGCTTGATCTAATTCGTGCGTACCCTCAAATATCTATTGCTACAGATGGTGTCTACATAGATAATAGAGTACAGAGGGATTGGAAATGGGGCATCTCCGTATACATCGCTAGGATACGGATGCTAGTTGACATTTGCAGCTAGCAACGCCTAGCAACGGAGGCTGTCTTTGAGCAAGAACTGTCTTTCTGAGACCTGTCATTCCAGCAGTAGTGTCACTATACGTCATTATTTATATCAAAAGAAGCAGAAGAGACTGGCATTTATCCCCAGACTAATTTTTATGTTGCTAGCATCATCATTTGCACTGAATATTTGCTCTGGAATGAGAATGCTTAGAATGACATTTTGTTTTGTACCCTTATCTCAGTAGTGTTAGACAAAAGACAATAACTGATTCAACCACTCAATAGGGATTCATAATGTGGAGGTCGCCCACTATGTTTCGTTTAGAAATATAATTGCATCTTGCTGTTACAATAGATTTACTGATTAGTTTTAGAGGTTTGTTTTGTACCCTTAACATATAAACCAAAGGGTCTGTCACATTAACTATCACACCATCGTATTGCTTAGAACACACAGGAGGTCACTGGCACTATTTCTATTGAAAAATTATGCAAAACAAAATATAGAATTAAATTATAGTAAATGTGATCAATAATGACTTGCTAATTCATAAAACACTGAATTTAAACTGCAAATAGATACATTGCTACAACAGACAGCTTGGGCAAACAGGAAGCCTGTCTTTCTATATTATTTAGGGGTTAACTATACAAAATAAAATTTTTATGCAACAAAACCTACTGCTTACATTATTGCCCCCCATGATAGACCCTATATCTACCATTATCCTAGTAATTAGAGTATAATACGGCATACCACTAATTTGCGCGTAGTAACATGATAGCAACGAACTAGTGACTAGCAACCACAGCTAGCAACAAAAGTACGCACTGTACTGCTACTGCTTACATGATTCCAGTTTCTTTTCCATGCGAACTACTTTCTTTCCTTGTCTCATAAGCTTATTATTGCAACACATTTGATTACATAAAGGTGAGAAGACAATTATATTGATTTCAAATAACAATATTCATAACTGAATATAAAGCTTAGTGCAGCAGGCTCAGTACTGCATCATTAATATTTTGTTCATCACTATTCCACATATCATGTCCAGGAAGAAGTGCTTCTCTAACAGAAAAAAAACAAAAAAAAATTATAAGGGTGAATCAACCTCAAAAGAGCCCTGCTCCAAAACTTATCAGTCCAAAACCGAGTGTGAAACAGCATACATCATGTACAGTCCAACAAAAAATAGCTGCACAGCAATCTCTCTTACCAGATGGGTGGTCAATAGTTCAAAATTCTCATGACACTATGATGTTGTGTTATATACGGCAGTATAATTCACATCCACAGATATTATTCACAGTCACAGTCTATCCAAACCTAACCTACAGTATCAGAGCATTTAATCACCTCACTATAAACATTCCTGATGTACTCATAACTAATGTAACTCACCTAATCACCTTGCTCACATATCTAGCAGCACTGAAAGTATGCCGCGGCAATTCTGATTCATCTCTTTTACAATTAGCAAATGGCAGAAAAGCCAATAGCTTCACTGATAGACAAGGTAAGATTAAAATGTATTGATAAATGACTTACATTAACTCAGGTCAGGTTGTTGCAATTCTTCAAAATATTCCCTTCCTAACAATACGCCATGTTAACTGTCCAGTATTACATGATAAAGTGACACGTTGTTCAGAGTGCGTTTCATACCGAAGAAAGTTACTTGCAATAGCATCAAAACGACCACTCCAAACAGACAAATAGGTTTCAAAACAAATCATCGACATATAACTAAACCATTGATGCTCAAAAAAATCCACCAACTCAAATCTAAAGTAAAAGAACAGGAAAAATATATTAAGGAATTAGAAGAAAAAATTGAAAAAGATCACCGCTCAATCACTTTGAATGAAAATCTTCACAGCAGCCTCTTATCAATAATGCATGAACACCATCAAGACATTCTGAATAACCATCCAGAAGGTAGCTTCGCAGAATATTCTGGGAGAATCAATATAAAGCAGCATCGACAATGTGCTGTACACAATTTCGCTGGAATCCTGCAATTGTAAAGTGGTGTATCTTTTTGAGGCACAAATCCTCTAAAGCATGACTTGCTTCAAAAAACTGGCATCTTACATCTTCCCTCTCAGCGTACCCATAGGGATTATACGTATGCATATAAAAGCACAAATGGATTCTCTACAGAATTAGATACACAGCTAGTGAATGATTATAACATCTCAGCATTAGAGCCATTTCAGAAATATGTCAGTATCATTGCTGATGAGATGCATGTTAAAGAGGGCTTAGTGTATAATAAGCACAATGGTGAGCTAGTTGGTTTTTGTGACCTAGGAGAAAAAAATTAACCATTTAATTTCCCTTGAAAAAGAATATCAAACACAAAACTGCCAAAAAACAACTAGCATCAACAATGATGGTACTAATGGTGAGATCTATTTTTACAAGTTTTATCTTTCCTTATGCTTCTTTTGCTGCTTTTAACCTCACTGGAAAACAACTAGTTCCTATTTTCTTGAAGCTCTTTTCCGTCTTGAGCACTGTGGCTTAAATGTCACATCTATTACCATGGATGGAACTTCTGTCAACAGAAAATTCTTCACAATAGTGGGAAGCTCAAGTTCCAAACCATTAGCATATAAGTTTAGGAACCCATTAAATGAAAACACAGAAGTCTTCTTTTTTTCAGACCCTCCACACCTCATTAAGACTGCCAGGAACGGTCTACAAAACCCCAAAAGACATATGGAGGTAAAAATAACTAAAATTAATAATTCAGAATTTAAATAATTTTTATAGATAAATGGGAAACAAGTCAGTTGGAAACACATTGAAAGCCTCTATAAAAAAAGTGTGAAAACAACTGGTCTCACTATTATTTCAAAAATAAAACACAAACACATATATCTGACACCATTTTCTAAAATGCGTGTTGACCTGGCCGCTCAGGTTTGTAATTATGATAAAATATTTAGTGATGACTATAATTTATGATTGTAGGTACTAAGTGAAACGATGGCTAAAGCACTTAGGTTCCATTTCAAAGAAAAAGCAGAGGAAACGGCAAAATTTGTCAAATACTTTGATAAATTCTTTGACATGTTTAATGTCACCAACTATACAAAGTGCTATAAAGAAAAAAAATGTTTCAAGCACCATACAGAATGGGAAATGACAGTAGACTTGAGGTAATAAATGTGAATAAATAAAGCTTATCATTATCAATGCATATCAACAATATTATACAGTGGCTGCAATCAGTATTTCTGCTCTGGTTAAAATCATTGGAAGAACAAGTACAGACAAGGATAGACCTGAAGGCTAGTGAAAGGAAAAAATTGCTACTTAGTGATGAAACACTTCTAGGTGTTCGTATGTCAGGTAATAATAACTTTAAAAACTACTTGTACATGTATAATTCAACTTTAACTTATAGCTTACTCACTCATTGATTTGGTAAAGTTCCTGTTCACTATTCCCAGTGTTAATTCATTTTTTAGTGAACGTCTGTCACAAGATCCTTTGGAAAATTATTTTGGACAGCAGCCGCAGAGAGGAGGAGTCAATGAGAACCCTACCTGTGACGAGTTTTTAAAAAACAACCAAGCACTGCGAGTAGTAAGCTCCATAAAAGTAAAACTTACCAATGGGAACACTAGAGGTAGTATACTAGACGAAGACAGATTAACATCAGTGTCTACTACTCCATCACCTAAAAGAAGAAAGACCTCACAAAGTAATTACAAATCATGCCAATAAACATTATGTTCCTCAATTTCCCATACATGTAGGTGAAGAAACAACGTGCACAAGTAATGATCAGACACCTATCAACAAACCTGATTTATTCAGTGAGTTAAAATAACTTATGACAAATTGTGACAATCAAGTTTCAGGTATCATATCGGAATCTCTCCAAGACCTTGGATTTAATATTCCATCAGCAGAGGCCCATTTCGCAAAAGAAACAGCACAAAAAAATAAAAATTTATCTGTTAGATCCTCAAAAAGAATCATTAAAGCCGTACGAATCATTTCTCATACAGATGTTTGATCTGTGGACCTCCATACAACCAGAAACGTCACCAATCAGAGAACAGATATGGAGGAGGTTCAGTGCGTTCGCTTCATCAAATGATTATATTACCTTTTGGAAAGGTTTCTACAGTATGATAGGAATAGCTGGTTCACCAGTACTTTCTTTCTACATTACCTACACCCTTTTCATTCGCTACTGGAGTAGCAAGTATCCTGCAAACGAGCTTCAGCACGACACATCAGAAGTATCTCATCTGACATATAAAGAACAAAATGCACTATGGTACATAGCAGGGTACATTTTTAAAAAAGTAAGAAAGGAAGTAAAAGGAAAGGAAGGAATTATTGATTATTTTATTGAAGAAGGCACAGATACTGACCATAGTGAAGAAACTGAAGATGATTGCAATGCACAGAACTGGTTAAATATTACTGACAGGGGAGGTTTAACAAAATGTACCAATGATTTTTATACTTTTCTTCAAGCCGTAGAACCAAAATTGAAGTGTCTACTTGAGAAGTCACTCAACTCCACTCTTGGCCATCCAAGAACAATCATTCAAACATTACAGGAGAAAGTATCGATAATAGATAGCTGGAACATCCTAGTCACACCTCTACCTGACTCCTCATCCGCTAACAGCATCAACACAAAATATTACAACTTTACATAACAGTGAGAAGCTTTGCTTTTACAGCTAAAAAGATGGAACACAAAATATCAAATAAAGAAAACATTCACAAGTCTAAAAGTTTAAGGTCCAAATTATAGGCAAGCAAAGAATTGCAGACAAACTATTAATACATAATTATTTCTATAATAATTGCAACTTGTTAATTATAATAATTATACATGATTTCAAAAATTAATCATTATACCTTTCACGGTAGAGCGCTCAGTAGGCATAGTCTCGCAAGCCATTCCCAAACAGGCTACAGCCCTTTATATATAGCCCATGCAACCTATTATACAGTATGCTCGAGATACCTTTAGATGTATTGTGCAGTTGGAAAACAGCACTGTAGCCACAGCAGTGACAGAGTCGGCCTCTGCTAACAGACTAGCCAGATCTCCGAAGGATTTGTTAATTAATATTTTATTTTTAATTTTGTTTTAGTCAAAATGGCTATAATTTCTTAAAATTAGAATTAATATGGTACTATCAACTAGCATTTTCCTGTTGCTACGCTCCATTTCCAATCCCTGTATACTCTAATATCTATGGTGTCTATGAAACAGCAGTGACCACACCTTTTGGATAATTTGGTTTACTCATATGCCCTTTGGTGTAAGAAATGCTCAAACATTTCAGCATCTTAAGTGTCTTGAGTTTGCCTATGTATACATTGATGACATGTTGGTAGGCAGTTGTGATGAGGTCGAACACAATAACCATCTTACACAAAAACTCGATCGTTTCAGAGCATGGTTAATGCTGACAAATGTGAGTTTGGTCAATCCTCATTACTCTTTCTTGGTCATGTAGTCAATGAGAATAGTATCCAACCATTAGATATCTTTTCACTGATTTACATTTACCTCAGTCTCAGCATAAACTCACACAGTTCTTAAGTCTTGTTAATTTTTACCATCGTTTCATCCCTCACTGTTCTCACACTCTCCAACCTTCGTACTCTTGACTCTCTTCAACTCCTGCTCATTCTTCTATTTCCAGGACTGATGATTTAGTGAATGTATTTCTAAAAGCCAAAAGTGCACTAGCTGATGCCACTTATTGTCTTATCCTAAACCTTATGCTTCAACTGCTGTCATGTCCAAAGCTGCAGATCTAGCTGTGGGAGCTGTTCTACTACAATTTATTGATAATCTATTGAAGCCTATAGCCTTCATTTCTCACATGTTAACTCCCACTGAATCTAGATACATAACTTATGGTACAGAGTTATTGGCTGTATATATACATTCATCACTTCAGGTACTTCATTGATGGTCGTACATTTTCTGTGCATACCGATCACAAACCACTCACATACTCTATGTTTAATAAGTCTAATAAATGTTCACCACGTCAGTCTGGACATTTGGACTTCATATTACAGTTCACTAGTGACATCAGACATGTTTATGGTCCTTTAAAGTTGGTGGCTGATGCATTATTTGCCACTAAACGTAATGAGCTGTCATCAGCAGATACACCCTTAGTAATTAATTTTGTGTACATGGCTCTAATTCAAGGAGATTGTCAGTTTTTTTCGGAGAAAACTCTTACACTCTCTTCATTTGGAACAATTTCCTATTCCTCATTCTAATCTCTCTCTCTATTGCGACACTTCTAAGAGAACACCCCGCCCTGTATTACTGACTTCATTTCATCATACCGTATTTGACTCATTTCATTTACTCTCACATCCTAGCATTTGTTCTACTGTCAAGCTCATTTCATCTTGATTCATTTGGCCTTGCATGGCTACTGATATCAAGTCATATAGTAGCTCAAGTCTCCCCTGTCAAAGATACATATGCACATTGTCTCACCTGTAAATACTTTCGCCTCTTCTACTATATGGTTTGACAATATTCACATTGATATTGTTCAACCACTCCCCTTATGTCATAGTTTTACATATTTACTTGCATAGACAGGTCAACTAAATTGCCTGAAGCCTTTGCTATTCTTGACATATCTGCTCTAACAATTGCTGGTGCTTTAGTAGCTGGTTTGATTTCACATTTTGGTGTCCCTTCTACAGTTACTACTGATTGAGGCAGTCAATTTGAATTCTCTCTCTTTGCTCAACTCACTTGTTTGTTACATACTGTTAGATGTTGTACCACAGCATACCACCATCAAGCTAATTGTTGGATAGGGAGATTCCATTGTCTACTAAATGATGCATTGAAAGCTTAACCACGTCCAGAGTCATGGACTGAGTTCCTCCCTCTAGTATTATTGGGTATTCATACTGCTGTTAAGGAGGACTGACATTACTATCCAGCTCATCTAGTTTATGCTACAACTATTCATCTGCCTTTTGAATTTTCTCTACTACTAATGCACTTTGACTCTCAGAGTCCTCAGACTATGTTGCTTGACTCAAGTGTTACTTGCGTTTTTTTTCAGTCACTCCAGTACGTTCTTCATCAACTCGATATACTTATATTCCTGATTCACCCTCTTCCTCTTGACATGTATTTATTTATCATGATGCAGTAAAGAGACCTGTTGAACGTCCTTATGATGGACCGTATAAAGTACTAGATAGTACTGAGAAATATTTTGTCCTTGATATTAATGGTACTCGACACACTTTATCTATTAATTGTCTCAAGCCACCACATATACACAAAACGAGTACTACTCTCCCTAACCATGATTCTCTCTTAACTAATACCCCTCTTTCTCATTCTACTTCTCCTTCCTCCTCTACTCCTTTGACTACTGCCCTTTGTAAGACCAACACTACTCATGTAGACACTGATGGTGCTAGAATCACTTGTTCTGGTCTACGCATTCATGTACCTGATTGACTCAATATTTGATCAGTTGTTCACTTGTGCTCTGGAAAGGGAGTAATGTAGGGTATGCTTGTGGTATGTTTATCATTTATTATTATTATTGCTTATCACCATTACTATTATTTTGGCCATTACGGTTTGAGTCATGAATAAGAATATATTATTACTATTATTATTATTATTATTATTATTATCATTACTGTTATTGTCATTCTTAATATTCATTATTATTATCACACATGCGCGTAACACACAAATGTTGTTTTGTTCATTGCTGTTTCTTTATTCTGCTCCATCTCAAGTTGGGCTACTCTTTCTATATCATTATTATCATTGTCCATCTCATTGACATGTTATTGGACAATAATATTTTCACAAATTAAATATTTGTTGTTGACTTAATTTGTCTGGGCTTACTGGCTAGGCTGGCTGGTCCAGACCCTCTACTACGTGGGAGGGTCTTGTGCAATGTCCACTTCAATCTTGTTCTGCATAATCATCAATAAAACGCACCTACGCTGTTACACATCATGGGGCGTTCCTGATAGTCTTGTCATTGAAAAACACGTGAGTATGGCAGCTCTGGACAGCATTCAGTCTTCTGTAACTGAGGCAGCAGGTATTCTTGGCTATACAAGCCATAAATCTGAACAGCAATACATCATAATTGAATTTCTACAGGGAAGAGATGTTTTTGCTGTCTGACCCACAGGGTATGGTAAGACTGCTTGCTTTACCTGTCTACCTAGTGCTTTTGATAAATATGAAGAGAGAACTGTTGAGAACATGGCCAAAATTGTAGTTGTTAGTCCTTTGACGGCACTGATTTATGACAAAGTGGAAGACCTGATTCGTCGCAATGTATCAGCGGGCTATATTGATTCAGACAGTACACAGGAGGTGAAGAAGAATGTTGCTGATGCAGTTTATAGTATTGTATTTATCAGCCCAAAACAACTGGTGAGAAGTTTGTTTCCAGTAGGATCTACAAGTAATATCTTGTAGGTTTAGTCATTGATGAGGATTTAAAGTAACAAGTGCACTAATACATAATTTATCATGCACATATACAATTATCTTATCATTTGGGGGCCAATCATTTAGACAGTCATACTCACGGTTAAAGGAAGTAAGAAGCATCGTGGAATCAAAGATTGGAATTATGGTTTTAATGGCAACAGCAACCAGATCATTAAGGCTACAAGTGAAGAAAATGCTGGCAATGAGGTCACCTATTGCTATAGTGCATTCCCCTGATAAAGCAAACCTAAGATTGAGTGCTGTGGAATTGCATGGTACAAACACATTTGGTGTATGAAATTTATTTAATACCATTCTTGAGGAATTAAAAGCACAAACAATACGTTGCCCTAGAGTGATGATTCTTTGTAAAATAAACACAGACTGACCAAAACTATATACGTTTTTTAAAGCAGGACTAGTTATCAATTTTACGTACCCACCTGGAGCATCAGCTAATATAGTGAAATGTCATCTAGTACACATGTTCTTTAAGGGAACCAGGTCGGTTGTCAAGAAAATAATAAACAACTTTGTAAAAAATTCTGCTTAAGAATAGTAATATGTACTGACGCATTTGGGATAGGGATTAATTGCCAGGATGTCAGGCTAGTAAATCATTATGGTGTTCCTGCTGATTGTCAAACCTATTTGCAGCAAATTGCATGGAGTGGTAGAGAGGGGAATGATTCAAATGCAGTCATTGTACATTCAAAAAAGCTGCTTGAAAATTTTAATGATTACATGAAAAGCTATGGACACAACAAACACTCATGCAGACGATATCACTTATTCAAATACTTTGAGAATTCTACCCGGGGTACCAGTAAATAAAGGTTGCAAATGCTGTGACATAAGTGTCAAGTCATGTGCATGTAAACACTGCTCAAAAACACTCTCTGAAACTTATTCATTTATGGCAGCATTATTCAATATTAAATAATTATACATGTACATTTTATAATTAGTAAATTAGCCTGTTTCTGATCAAATTTAATTATTGAATCATCCATTCTTTCAATTTATTACAATGCTTTTTAGATGATACAATATTTAAGGCTACCTCTTCAAAACATGAATGTTTCCTTCCTTCTACATATGAAAACACTTGAGTGTTCAATAACTGCTGCATAATCAAATTCTTATCTTTATCAGAATTAGGAGTTGAATGCTTGCCAGAAGCCTCACA